GTCTGTTATTTCACAAAGAGCAGCAAAGGCTTTTTGGGCATCCTTCCTACCCTTTATTTGTAGGGTGCTCCTCTGGGGTTTATTTTTGTAACATAAAATAGATCTGAGTCTTTAAAACCCACGAGATTTTCTGCTCTAATCATCTAATTGTTTAATAAAACAAGCCTTCTGCGATGAGGGCCAACACCTCCGAGCCCTCTGGGTTTTGTAACTTATTTTGTATGTACTGACCTGAGGGTATGGAACAGCTTCAGGCCAAAACATTTTGTCTTGTTTTCTGAACGTAAAGAATGCCTTAAATTACAGGCAGGATTGGGAAACCCTTACTAGTGAGAGAAATTAATTCCCATTAGCAGCTTATCTCAGCGTGGCTTTCTCACACCAGAAGTACTTCGTTTACCTGTTTGCAGTTCCATTTAGCACCCAAACTGGCATGAACCACCACCACCAGACACAAGCAGCCAACGTAAACTCTAACATCATAATCCATCCCGGCAGAAGGGAGGGTGCCACCAGGAGAACCGAAGCTCCATGTTCAGAGTCACAGGACACAAGATGAGTCTGGGGTGGCCAACATCTCCATCAGGGTGTGAAGACATCTAACACACTGCACGAGCCACACGGCTCAATTCTTACAGAGCATAACCTGGCTGAAAAGGGCACTGGATTCCACAGCTTCCACAGCCAAGAGATCACCTCACTGCCCAGAAAAGGTGCTCCTACCATGCCAGTTCCCTACGGCTGTCCCATTTCCACAGGTACAATACCCAGTTTTCTTAACAGGAATAATAGGAGAGATGCCTGAGAGAAGAGAAAAACTGACAGCGAGCTAAGAGAATAGAAGACAGACAAAATTTAATGATAAGAGGTGAGGAGAAGACAACAGACTCTGTGACCACTGGAATGGGTGAGATGCTGAAGGCACTGGAGGATAAGGTGGATCTCCTGCTGGTCATCACCAAACCTCCATGGACCACATGTGCTGATGGGGATGGAGCTGGCAGACTTGCCAGGTCTATTTGTACAGTCAGGAGCTCGAAGCCCCATCCTGCACCCTCACCCTCCTGCCTGGCTGTACAGTACCTCCGTCCAGGGGAGTTCTTGACAGATCTTTAAACCCTCAGAGAAAGAAGTCACCCACACGGGCCAAAAGTTCAAGCTTTGGAGTCGTAAATATTCAAGATCCTTAGGTGCAGGTCACTTATGAGTTCACTACTACGTTACATACATCTTTATGGTATGGCAACTGTTCCTGCACAGGCACGTTTTGCGACTTATATTGATCCTGCTCAGCGCAACCTGCTTAGAAATAAAGTGTTTCCAAGTAGAGGATGCATCCTGGCATGGTGTTTAATTGACTGGATCCACTTAACAGGTCATATAAATGTTAAATGCATATGTGTGGCCCACAGTAACGTGTGGCAATAAACAGATTATTACTGCATATATTCACCCATAAAGCTCGTGTTACTGAGCTTTGACTTTGTGAAAGTTTTTACATGCAATTATAAATTTGTGTATGGTATTTGCTTACCTGTCACCAGTGCAATGATACATTCCTTGCTCATCTCCTACTTGACTGAATGTTTTAAGGACAGAATACAAATTACTTACCCACACGCAGAAAAAGAGGTTACCCTGGCTACAACTGAAAGTGTACAACTGACTAAAATATTACATCTTCATTATTTGTTTCAAATGCCACTAAAACTAGAACACAGCAAAGCAGTTCAAATTGCTTTTTAATTTCTCACTAAAAATTAAAGGAAAAGTATTTTTTGTATGTATTTTTCTGGGGAAGAGCACGGGACCAGCTCCTTACTGGTGGGCTGCCTGGCAGACCCCTCCAATCCCACCGCAGGGGGGTGCAGAAGCAGCAGGACACCACCCCTGTGCCAGAGTCCCGGCTCTCCTGGCACAGCATAGCCAGAGGCAGCGGGAATCGGAGCCCTGCCCTCTCCACACAGCTGGCTGCTCTGGGTTTGCAACAAAACAGCTCAGGGCACTCGTGGGTGCCAGCTTTTTTTTTTTTGTTTTGTTTGAAAGAGTCAGTTTATAATATTTTGTGTTGATGTTTAAAAAAATGAGGACGGTATGATTTGTAAAACACTCTGCGTACTCAGTGTACCAAACATAACTCTGTTTTGAAAAAAAATTAAAATACATCATTCGTGATAAAAAAGCCACTAAGCCACCGAGAAAGACAGATGATACCAGCCTTGTGATAAATTTGCGCCACAGCAAACGCGTGAGCTTGTTTAAATAAATAACTGGTTTGAAGGGCGAAAAACAGACACCCTCCTGGAGACCTTAAAGAGATTGTTTTCTTTGTTGCACCAAGTGCTGCCCGTGTTTGCCCTGAGCCAACTGAAGAACTCGTGTTCTCTCCGTACCCACCTCCTAATCGCCTCCGAGGCTGATTACCGAACCCAGACTGCTCGTCCTTCCCCTCGAAGCCCACACAGCAGATCGTGCCAGCAGCACAGGGCCCGTCTCACCATAGAGGTGCAAATTAGTCTCTAGGTGTCATTGATTTAGATGTTATTAGATGTTATTAGATGTTATTAGATGTTATTAGATGCAAGTGCCAACCTGGCTGTCCCGCGCCTTCCTGCCGGAAACCAGCAGGCTTTCAAACATCTCCGCCACTTCTTCCGTCAGCTGAACTCGGTGCTTCTTCAGGAACAAGGCATGGTTGGTCAAGTAAGTCTGCAGCATGTCCGTGTCCCACTGCTGGTCTGGCCTGAGAGAAAAAACCAGCACGGTTAGTGGGATGCCCCACGTACGTGAGACTCAGGGTGCCACGTTACCCATTTATCTGGACAGTCAACATGCAGTGGGAAAAGCCATCACATGTTTCGTCCCTAATTCACACTTTTTCTTCTAACAATGTCCAAAGTGGAAAATGTAAGAAGTCAGTTGTGACTTCTGCAAGCGTGGGGAAGACGGGCTGGGGAAATCATCATCACATCTGTGCCCCGGGTCCATCCTGAGACTCGGGTCAGGAGAAATGACACCTTTTCTGCAGCCCCTGGTCTCTGCCTTGGGCAGACCTCACTTTCTCCATCAGGCACCCCCTAGGCATCACTTCCCCAGCCTTGTCTTTTTTTTTTTTTTTGTTCTCAGAATTCTTTTTATTATTTTTGAGCAAAAGTGCCTTTTCTTTTAAAGCAGAAAATATAAATACTGCAATCTTGTTTGCCAAAGATGTTTGTTTTTTCCAGCTGCTCTAATGAAGTTTCACAAACAGAGGAGTGAATTCCAATTAACTCCACAAGTGTTTGTCCCTAAGAAACCATTCAGGAAATACAACGACGTAGTAGTGCTCGCAGGCATATCAGCCTGGAAAGGAGAACCAGGTACAGTTAAATAGACCATTCTTCAGCGCTCACAAGTGCCCCGATCCTGCTAACACTTGAGCGCTGCTGAGCCTGTAACAGGGAAGAAGGTCTAGACAGAAGCTAAGTAAGAAAGAATGGAAATTGTTTTCATTACTGCATTAAAGAGATCTAAAAAAAAAATAAAATAAAATAAACCAATTCTCACTTGTCCTTGTGGCATACGCAGAGCAAAGAAAAAAACCCATTTTGAGTAACTGCGGCTTATTGTTTTTAAAGGCTATACGCATCTCCTGCTTCACAGAAAAATAATTTGCTTCTCAGAATGACATTCCCCATCCTTGCGTGCCTGAGACTCGTGTTGAAGATCACAAATTACTGGCTAAGAGGTCTCTGAAGTTAATACATTTCCCTCCCTGCCAGAGCAGCCTGGGGTGGGAGACGCGGCGGACTGGGCGAGACGGGAGGACCCGGCCCGAAGGCTGCCTGGCGGAATGAGATTCCCCCTTGGCGAGTGACACGGAAAACAAATGAATTTGCTTAATGTCCTCATTTCCAGTCGCACGGCTGCTGCCAGGATGCGTAACGATCAGCACTCGGACGTCTTTATTTTCCCGTGCGAGCGGAGGCCTGGCCCCGGGTCCGCGTTCCCCGCGCCGCAGAGGCAGAGCGGACCCGGGGAGGGAAGAAAAGGGCGTTAATCGCGCCCAAACGCACGTTTCGTGCCTGCGGTACCTGGTCTGCTCTTCCCCCGCCGCTCGGCCTCCAGCATCGAGGGCTTTCTCGGGTCGGAGGCTCCCGTTCCACGTGCTCCGCGACAGAGCCCGAAGCTGGTGAAGGATGACTGCCTGGCATGCTTCAAGGTCGTCTTCTTTCAGACTGCCGGCCCGATTACAAAAGCTACAAAATAAAGCAGGTAGTACAGGCGAGGTTTCCTTACAGCCCAGCCAGCCAGCAGGGGTTTGGAGGCAGAATCCGTAACGCTTCCTTGGGATAACGGGATAATGGGAGGGACAGCCCAGAGGGACAAACACCCGTGATGCTCTCCACGAAAGATGCAGGACAGGGAGGTCAAACCTGATGCTCAGAAAACACCAGGTTCCATCTCAGACCTTTGCATTCCGACAGGGAGAGAGGAACCCGCACACATCCGCTTGGTTAAACCGCCTCTCGGCCACGCAGCCCCGGCCATGCCGCGGCCAAAGCGGTTACGTCGCAGGAACTGTCTCCAGCATTTCCAGTTCGGGAACCCTTCCTCCTAATTCCCTAGAAATCCTCACGGGAATTCTCGTTTATGGAAGCTGGCAGATAATTTTAAATAAAATGACAAAGCTATTCCCAGTTCCTGTAATTAAAAGCTGGTGGAGCAGAGGGACAGTGAGGGCACTCTGACCCCGTTTTTGTTAACACGTGGGTTTTGGTGATTCTCTTTGCTCTTTTACCTCAAAGAAGAAAATATTTTTCTGGTTATTGTCTACCTCAGTAAACCATATTAGCATTACTAGCTAAGAGGATGCTCTCATTCTTGGAAACAAGCATTTACTTCACCTAAGGGATCTCTGGAGCAAGGCTGCAAAAAGCGCTACATTTAGGAAAGAGTATTTGTCGGAGTAATTTGCGTACGTGCTTCTAAGTGCCATATTTCAGCTCCCCCATGACACTAAAACAGTGGAAGGGGAGGGAGGCCTCTTAGCAACTGGCAACGTTTGTTTGCAGGAGCCTGCTTGCTCTTTGCACCGGCCATTTGTCACCGCAGGAGCGAGGAGCCCCTGGCTCAAATCTCAACAGGCTCCTGCAAAGCTGCTCGGTAACAGCCCCTCGCCGTTGCTCACCTGAAGGCAATTAGAAGCGTGTAAGCAATCAACAACAAAATTACTACAGGCGTTACGCTGGGTGTACAGCAGCAAACTAGAATACAGGAGATACCTGAGCAGCTCCGCCGTCCCCACCGTCCCCGTGTGCTCGCCCTGGTACAGCGCCCGGTGCCGGGGGCTCGTCCTCATCACCGCGTCTTCCGTCAGCTGCAGCGCACGGGAGAGTCCTGGCAGCATCCCGTGGCACCTGTGGATGGACAGCAGACAGGGCTTGAAGTGACTTACGGACAGCAGACAGGGCTTGAAGCCACTTGAGTGGCGACAGGAGTCACGACAGGTATTTTACATGCGTTCCCATCGCACCAGTTGGAAAAACAAACACCCTCGTTTTAGCTTTGCAAAGCAAACACCAGCAAAAACCACATCGCTTGAGCTCTGTAGAAAGGAAAAATAAAAAGCACATGAGCAAACAAACCATCCAAAACAATCAGCCAGGGCCTGAGATGCTGCATTGAAATCACCCAGCCCCGAGTGGTTTAATTCCTTCACCTCCACAATCGGAATAAATCTGGTGACCACCTACAGGTATGGGGACATAACTGGGACCTCAGAGGGGTTTTGATGAAGCTGCACCTCTATAATGATGCAAATCAGGACTTAAACATTGAAACAATGCGGCGGGCTAATCCTCGCACAGAGGTGTAAATGGCTATTCAGGCTTTGTGGGGGCCCTTCCAGGCCAGGTCTCCTCCAGCAACATCCCAGCTGGGCCGGCGCCCGCAGAGCCCCACAGGCAAAATAAAGATTTTTTTTTGTTATTATTTATTATTTTTTTTCCTGTATGTAGAAGCTGATTATTTACAGAGTTAACCTTGGTTTACCATGTCTCAAGTGAAAAGCTCCGCGCACAAAAACTCGCATCGTTTTTGCGGCCGCGTCAAGCTACGCTGAAAGTTGTGTTTTCTGTCAGGCTGTTGGGCAACAGTGAACAATTAAGTGGGAGCTGTCGAGCATTTAGTCGAGTTTCCAAGACGTTTAATAAGCAAAACAATACCAGGGGGATCACATATGCAGTTAAACAGTGCTTTTTCTTTTCCCCCAGTCTTACAAACGCTGTATTTCAGCGGCCGGCTCGTTTCCCATTGTTTTCCTCCCGCTGGGTGGTCCTTCCAGGGTGCCACTCGAGAGGGATACAATAATAAAAAGGGAAGGGGAAGGAAGGGACACCAACATAAAGAAAAACAAAATGTATGACAATCTGCAGCAGGCTACGGATCAGAGGTCAGCAAACAAGAGGTCCTTCTCTTTTACAGGTTGCTTCCTGGAAACAGTCTGATTAAGCTGACAGCTTGAATTATGTGTTACATTTTGTAATGCACAATCCATCTGTGCTAAGTCCTCTTCAATGCAGCTGAAGCAGCACAGGCATAAGCTCTGCCTTTTTCCACCCCCTCAGCACAGGCCTTAAAATAGTCATCATCTTTCTCTGCACTAATTCTCTGAGACCCTCTCCCCCATCCCGCTCCCGGGCTTAAGCCCCTAAAGAAAGGGCCGGGTGCTGTAAGGAATGGTAAGAGGATACGGAGCCTTTCGCCTCCGGTTCAGCAGCTCAGACTGACACAACGGGCCGAGGACTGGAGCCGTCGGGTGGCTTCACCTGGCAGGAGGGGAAATCGGGCGCCCTTAGGTGCTGCCCAGCCAAGCCAGGCAAGCCCCCTGCTCACCAGTGGGCTCCTGGGCTGCAACCTGCATGGAAAACACACGGATTCGGCTCCCGCCCCGGTCTGAGCTGGAGGGATGAGCCTGAAGAGGCGTGTGTACCACCTCTGATCAACGCATCCGCCCAGCGGTGCTCCGAAACACGGAATTTAGATATTAAAAACTGTAATTTTAGAGAATAAGGCAGCAAAATTGCAGCACCCCACTGCGGGCTGCGACCAAGGCGCAAAGCTTATGCTAAACAACCTTTCACAGAAACATCACCTTTCTCTGATTAGTAACCTGATGAGGTTATCGTGATAACCACTCCTCTAACTGGGAAAAGCAATTTGAAACTAGGCTGAGCTCACCCAGAGGTAAAATATGACCTGCAAACACTTACTGTGGGGGAAAAAAACCCAAACTTTTTTTTAAAAGACAGACAACGGCATTTCTGCAGTAAGGCACGAAAGGCATTTTCTCCAAAAATAGAAACTTGTGCCTTCCTGACACGCAACAAGGATTTTGTTTTGCTTTCCAAGCGAGCCACGATCCCGGCACACGAGAGCTCCTTTCCCCTCCCTCACTCGTACCAATTCCAAATGAGACACCAGAAGCGTATGGACGGCCCAAAGATGACAGCTGGAGAACGTTACTTCATCTGAATGCCACAGCAGCGACACCGCCGCACTGGGAAAGTCCAAGCTACAGGTATTTTATTTTAGGACACCAAACATAAATCGTTTTGCAAAATTCCTGTGTATTTCTTCAGCCAGCATAGGAATTTCCTAAGAGAAAAACACACGGATTGAAGGGACATCACAAGACCTGTGGTATTATTCATTCTGGGAATCCGTGGCATGATATACTCAGACCAAAAAAAGTTGCATTCTCATCGTTTGTGTAATTTGTATAATTGAAATCAATGTGCTTGGAAACTTTTCCCCAGGATTTTCAGCTCATGAGCTATTTTGCAAGACTGGAGTGTGCACGCTGCATTTCATGTGCGTTGGAAAGACGGACTTGGAAAGCTCACAATGGAAAAGGCCACGAGACCTTCCGTGCCTGCCGGTTTTGAAATTTTATCTGCCTTTTAATTTTCAGGTGAAACAAATTAAAATTTGTGTCTTTTCTGCAGCAACAGCTAACGGCGGCGATGCCACTTCCGTGGCCTTGAGAAACGGAGGCATTCAGCTTGGCACAATGTGAGAGGAAAGCTCCACGTTCTGGTTTCAATCGTGCTCCGGAGATAATGCGAGCAGTGAAACCTTTCGTATAATTTAGCTGGGCTTCAAGAGCGTTGCACAATATTTTCATCAGTTGATGAACAGCCAGGCATCACCAGCATTGACAGGGAGAGGACAAAAGGTTAAATTACCATCGCTCAGCTCTGACTTCTCTAGCAAAGGCAGGCACTCCATGCAACTTCCCTACAAAGTGTTATGATTAACAGGTGTTACACAAAAGAAAAACCGGGTGAAAGCTATTTAGATGTAAATCAGATGATGTTTCCATAGCAAGCAACAGACTGATGCAAATGTGAAATGATAAAGTTACAGAAGTGTATATTGATGGCCAGCAGTCTCTGCTCAACTGTCATCTATCAAAATACAAACAAATGCTGAAATCAGTACCTAAGACGACATGACCATGAATGTAGGAAGAACAGACACGTTAAGTAGATTTAAAAGCTGAAAATAACCAAAAAGGGAAGAAAAAAACAACTGGCAAAAGAGTACTCCTCATTCTCCAGGGGTACATAACACTGGTTTCTTCCGGACGTGGTCTCTCCGGACGTACAGCCACCAGCGAACCACCCCGTAACTGCTCCAACTAGGAGTGTTTTGCACGTGAACAGCACCCACACAAGGTAGGGAGACCCGAGGGGAGCAGCACCTGCTGGAACACTGCACGTGCCTGCAGAAAAGGCTTTCTTCAACATCTCTGCTGTGCCTGAGGGCAAGAAAACGCTGGTGAGGAGGGAGAAGGGTGTTGAGGATACAGAGGACACGGAAACAGAAGCGTGTCGCTAAGGGAGAGTGGGCAGGAGAAAGGCAGCAGTCGTAAGTCACAAAATTGTGGGGTCAGGCAGTGGCAGGACGGCCAGGGTGAAGTGGGACGTGGACACGAAGCACCGCAGAGGGAACCAGCAACAAAGAGACTTTCAAAACTAAGAGACAGGAGATAAAAGCAGGAGGGATGTTCCCACAGCAACGCGGCACGACAAGGTGGGGACCCAGGAAGGGATGACGGCAGTTGGCACGGGGCTGTTGGAACCCTGAGGGAGCAAAGCCAGCCCTCCCACACGACCTGGGCAAACCCCCTGGACCATCTCCTGGTGGGTACTGCCCCGCCGGGATGGGGATGTGCTTCCCTGTCTTACAAGGGTGTTGCAAGGCCGGAAATCCAGCTGTGATTGACATTACAGCTGATACTCTGGTATTGCAGTTGTTGGCAACAAAACCCCACCACTTTCACATGGTAGCAGAGGACAAGCCTCACATCTGTGTTGCGTTTTCCTCATCCTCTCTCTTGTTCTCTCTCTGCTGTTTCCAAAAGAAATACTCAAGAAATTTAACCAATCGGAAATTGGAATCCACACAAAACACGCTGTTTAGTAAACTGTAGGTACTATTATATAAACTTGTTGAAATAAGATTTGTGTACCATTAAAGAGCATCTATTGCATCTTAACAACAAACACACTCAACTTGTCCAAGTATGACCTGAGCGAGTGACCGAAGGTGTTTAACCACTAGCACAGAGGTAGTGAGAGACTAAATAAATAGGTAAGAAGTTTGCCCACCTGCCCATGAGTTTGTGCCACGCAAACTGTGACAACAGCCAAGCTGTGAAGACAACAGCCTCCCGGGCACACGCTAAGGGACGAGTGCTGGCAGAGAGAAAATACACCAGGACGTACCCATCTGGTGCTGAGCTGACCGAGGGCTCCTCCGGCACCGCGGGAGGGTCTGGTGGTTGCAGCAGGGAGCCCTCGGTGGCGTGGGCATCCCTGCCCCGCTCCCCGCCGTCTGCTGGT